GTGGCACTTTATTTCCGGTTTATTGCTAGTGTTATGTTGTTGAGTTACACATTACACTTACTGTCAGCACTATTTTTTTAATGAATTTTTATACTTTAGAACCAAAGTACTACTCAAGTTCCCTTTGGTTTAGTTTTGAAAACTTTAAATCTAGATGTATTTCACTGTGTTGTGTGCAATCGTATAATATAGTGTTATATATGTGGGTGTGTGCATGTGTGTATGTGTGTATATATATATATATATATATATATAATTCACATACAAGTAATGTAAGGTTTGTGCCACAGCTGCCCTAAACTAACAGTATTGGTGGTTACCAAAATCATTTTGTTTGAGCTCTTTAGTAATAAACACAGTAGTGTTTAGCGAGTTTACACATATTGGCGGATTAACCATTACAGAAACATGAAAAAATGATTTTGGTAATCACCAATACTGTTAGTTTAGGGCAGCTGTGGCACAAACTTTACATTGGGTAGTGGTGGTCTAATAAATTTGTTAAGCACTGTATATATGTGTATATATATATATATATATATGACGAGTTCAGATGCAAAAGCCTCTTAAGTGCCATCTGAAATTTTCTTCTAAAATTAGCATTTTTATCATTTTATTTTATAATTGCTGTTAATAGTGTTCATCGTCTGTTTGATTGTCTTTAATTGATTTTTCCGTACATTTCTGCCATATGTACATTAACTGACAGTCACTACTGATAAACTACTACTAAATCTATTGTAGAAACTTAATTTTCTGTAAAGTTGCTTTGCAACGATTTGTATCGTGAAAAGCGCTATACAAATAAGCTTGAATTGAATTGAATTATCAGGCTCCTATGTTTAGGTTCAGTAATTTTACTTTAATGACAATGTATAGGTCATTTTCTATGCCATTAACCCTTAGGTGCTGTTTGGGGTCTTTTTGACCCCAAATGACGTTTGCTGAAATAATAATAATAAAAAAGTTCCCTTTATCTAAATGGCATGAGAACTTTGTACATTATCAACACTTGGTAAGCTCTACAAAATAAAATAAAATAAAATAAATAACATTAAACTGGATTGATATCTGGTTGTATGTTAGTGTGAAAAAAAGAGTCACAATCAGGATGTCTGGGGTATCTGGAGACCCCACATTGAAATGAATGGGGAAATTATTTTTCCTTTTAATTTGTCAAATAATTGTATGTTAGTGTGAAAAAAAGAGTCACAATCAGGATGTCTGGGTTATCTGGAGACCCCACATTGAAATGAATGGGGAAATTATTTTTCCTTTTAATTTGTCAAATAAAATAACTAAATCCACCACAATGCACCCATAGAAGTCAATGGGAGACTATAAAATATTGATTATTATTATTATTTTTTTGTTACATAGGCTATTTTGTCAAAAATGTCAGTTACAATGCAGACAACACACAAAAACTGAAGGGCTGACACCACAGCACATCCACGGTGGAGGAAAAACCCACCCCCCAACGCCTATAAAACCCACTCATAACATGAAAAAGTGACATAACATGAGTGGCTCTCTCTTACATAATTTGTCAAATAAAAATCAGCTACAATGAAGAACATGCATAGAAATGATAAAGGGACACCGCAGCACATCCACAATGGAGAATAAATGCAAACACACACATATATACACTAATACACACATATAACACCACATACGTGTTTGACTGTAATCATGTGTCATAATTGCAAATTTTATTATTACAATAATGATTTTATAATCTCTTAACATAAATCTAAATAAAAACACTTGTGAAAAGATCTATACCTATGTGGAAATGGCAAATGGGCTATTGAGTAATGCTCTTGAGCCATCTGGTGGCTGTAGTTGAAATTTCATGTTTTTCTAATTTTAAAAGTGTTTGTTTTCAAGTAGATGGAAATAATTTCCCATTATGCTATGGCACATTGGCCATGTTATCTCCATGAATTAAAATTAGGAATGTGGGTCTTTTATGTGTATTTTACATAAAACGTTAAAAAAACCTATTTAAAAATATTTTTAAATTTATTTATATAAATTTAAAAATACCATAAATCCTCCCAAAACTGCACAAATGTAGAGTACATTAATAAACTGAGTAAAATTAAAATTGTTTTTAAAAAAGCATTATCACATTTTGTTGTCTGGGGTCCCCAAACCCCAAACAGCACGAGTGAATACCCCAAACGAATTAAAGTGAAATAAATGAACATAAATATAGGAGCCTGATAAAAATGCTCATTTTAGATGAAAAGTTCAGACGGCACTTAGAGGCTTTTGCATCTGAACTCTTCATTTATATACAGTATATATATATATATATATATACACATTGAGGGAAAAAATTATTTGATCCCCTGCTGATTTTGTACGTTGTTGACAAAGAAATGATCAGTCTATAATTTTAATGGTAGGTTTATTTGAACAGTGAGAGACAGAACAACAACAACAAAAAATCCAGAAAAACGCATTTCAAAAATGTTATAAATTGATTTGCATTTTAATGAGTGAAATAAGTGTTTGATCCCCTATCAATCAGCAAGATTTCTGGCTCCCAGGTGTCTTTCATACAGGCAAGGAGCTGAGATTAGTATCAATCTCTTAAAGGTAGTGCTCCTAATCTCAGTTTGTTACATGTATAAAAGTGTAATGATTCAGATGCAAGGACGGCCAGACTATAGACAAATAATCATGAGTGTTGTTTTAGCTGGGCTAGAACCCTGATCTCCTAGACACAGAGCTGGCGCTCTTCCTGAGTGAGCTAACTCCAGGTTGAGAATTTTCTAGACCCAAGTGCAGAGGAATGACAAAATCTCACGGAGACGAGAAATACAAACTCCAAGTATTTTTACTTGTAGAGATTCAAAAAAAACAAGGAACAAAGTACAAACAAAACCAGAAGCAAGGCTTCCAATAGTCACAAAAAGGAGAAAACAAAAACAAGCACAATGGCTTACAAAAGACTAGTTAGCAACAGGATACACAGGTAGGTAGGCTCAAGACTGAACAAAACACAATGGCTAAAGGCAACTTAAATAGGGCCCTACACAGGTGAGTATCATCAACAATAATTGCCAAGCAGAGCTGAGAGTTCTTGCCAATGGTTGCCCCCTGGCAACTGGGAGGAAGATTGCAGGCAGCAGACATCCCGCGCCCCCTTGTGGCTGGGAGTAATACTGCTGGTCATGGCAGGAGTGTGACCCCTAGTGGTAGGAGGAAGTACTGCCAGCTAAAGTCTTACAAAAAGACATCTGTCCACAGAAGCAATCAATCAATCAGATTCCAAACTCTCCACCATGGCCAAGACCAAAGAGCTGTCCAAGGATGTCAGGGAAAAGATTGTAGACCTACACAAGGCTGGAATGGGCTACAAGACCATTACCAGGTAGCTTGGTGAGAAGGTGAAAACAGTTGGTGCGATTATTCGCAAATGGAAGAAACACAAAATAACTGTCAATCTCCCTCGGTCTGGGGCTCCATGCAAGATCTCACCTCGTGGGGTTTCAATGATCATGAGAACGGTGAGGAATCAGCCCAGAACTACACGGGAGGATCTTGTCAATGATCTCAAGGCAGCTGGCGTGGGGTCTCAATGATCATGAGAACGGTGAGGAATCAGCCCAGAACTACACGGGAGGATCTTGTCAATGATCTCAAGGCAGCTGGGACCATATTCACCAAGAAAACTATTGGTAACACACTACGCCATGAAGGACTGAAATCCTGCAGTGCCCGCAAGGTCCCCCTGCTCAAGAAAGCACATCTACAGGCCCGTCTGAAGTTTGCCAATGAACATCTGAATGATTCAGTGTAGAACTGGGTGAAAGTGCTGTGGTCAGATGAGACCGAAATCGAGCTCTTTGGCATTAACTCACTGTGTTTGGAGGAAGAGGAATGCTGCCTATGACCCCAAGAACACCACCCCCATCGTCAAACATGGAGGTGGAAACATTATGCTTTGGGGGTGTTTTTCTGCTAAGGGGACAGGGCAACTGCACCGCATCAAAGGGACAATGGACGGGACAATGTACCGTCAGGGCCAGGGCATTGAAAATGGGTCATGGATGGGTATTCCAGCATGACAATGACCCAAAACACATGGCCAAGGCAACAAAGGAGTGGCTCAAGAAGAAGCACATTAAGGTCCTGGAGTCTCCAGACCTTAATCCCATAGAAAATCTGTGGAGGGAGCTGAAGGTTCGAGTTGCCAAACGTCAGCCTCGAAACCTTAATGACTTGGAGAGGATCTGCAAAGAGGAGTGGGACAAAATCCCTTCTGAGATGTGTGCAAATCTGGTGGTCAACTACAAGAAACGTCTGACCTCTGTGATTGCTAACAAGGGTTTTGCCACCAAGTACTAAGTCGGGGTCAAATACTCAAATAAAGCGAAGGGGTCAAATACTTATTTCACTCATTAAAAATGAATGATATTTTTGCAATTTTACACATAATAATCCACGATGATCACATTACACAAAACTGAAATTGCAAGTCAAATAAACTCATTGTCAATATTTTTCGAGACCCCCCAAAATTTCACAAATCCCGTTTTCAGGGGAGCCCATGTCTTATTAAGGGGAGCCGAGCTCCCCTAGCTCCCCCGTAGTTCGCACCCTGGTTCTCTGTATATATGGCTTTCTGTGACATATTCACTTGATTATGCAGTTAAACATTAATTTGCTTTGTTTTCTAGTATAACTTCTCAAGCTTTCTTGGGTTGTTCCTCTTGTGGACCACCATGGCTGATTTTGGGGAGATTTTAGAAACTATAGGAGACTTTGGCCTTTTCCAAAAGCATCTCTTGTTTGCTTTGTGCTTTCCAAATCTCATTCTGCTTTTTCAGTTATCCAGCCTTGTCTTCAACCATGTAGACACAAACCACCATTGCAACACTGAGTGAATTCTTCGGGTGGGTCCCAATCTGACGAAGGAAGAGCAGCTTAACCTGACTCTGCCCAGGCTCCCGGATGGCTCTTTTAGTCTCTGTCAGATGTACATGCCTGTGGATTGGGATTTGTCTGCTATCCGGGAATACGGCCTAAACGAAACCACCACATGCACTGATGGATGGGTGCATAATGATACTATTATGAGGCAACCATTGTCACCGATAAGTACTACCACTGGTGTGTTTCAAATAAACATGTTGAAAAGGTATCTTGGGTTTAGTTACCAGTATATTTGAAAACATTTATGCTATGATTTATGATCACACCACAATGTAATGACCTCACTTTGAGCTGATTTAGACAACAATAGCAGTTTACATCGAGAAAGACTTCATGAATGCCTGATATTTTTGTGATATTTTGCAGTTTGATCTTATATGTGACAATTCAAATTTATTTCGGGGAGCACTGACAATATTCTTTGCTGGAGTACTTGCTGGGGCTGTACGTTTTAGGCCTTTTGCAGAATCGTAAGTATTGAAAAACTATGTACTTTAGATTAAATACAGAATAGATCATTTTAAGGTGTCCTTGTCACAGTGTAATTACACAAATAAGTACTGAGTAATATTAATGTTAGAATAAGATTTGGTTTAAGGTTAGTTGCTTGTAGTTATGGCTAATTTACTCTAGTAAGTACATGTAATGTTTAACAAGGGCACTGTAAAACAAAGTGTTACCTAGATTTCTCCCCCCCCCCACACACACATTAAACTTGCAATTCAATTCAATTCAAGTTTATTTGTATAGCGCTTTTCACGATATAAATCGTTGCAAAGCAACTTTACAGAAAATTACGTTTCTACAATATTTGCAAGTCATGTATATGTAGTTTGCACCCTCAAAGTTACAGAAAGTATTATCCTCCCTGGCATTGACTTTTTTTCTCCCTCTATTAAAAAAGGCATTTCAAAACACCTTTAAATTTTTTGCAGTTCTTTTATGTTTTATGTTAAATAAAGTATTATGAATAGTTTTCTGAGTTATATTAAAATATGTAATATAATTATGAAAATATATATGACATATCGTTACATTATATAAATAATTTTAAACAATTAAAATATGATAAATATAAAATATTTTTTTAAATAGTTAAAAAATTAAATAATTATATAATAACTACAATTATATATATATGTATATATATATACTGTATATCCATAGAAATATACTACATCTAATGTCTATGACATGAAAAATAAATCCACATCATATATTCAGCATACAGAAAAGATTTCAATTCGTGCATGATGTGATCAATAGTCCTTTCCAGTAAAATATATATTTTTTTCTTTTCTTTCTCTCTCAAGTTTTGGTCGTAAGCGAGCTACACAGATACCTATGGTGCTCATGCTAATATTCACTGGTGACTGGTCTCTCTCCAAACTTTTATGTGTACCTCACATCGCAGTTCATTGTTGGTGTTGCTCTTGGAGGATTTCGTATCACCAGCATAATCCTTGGTATGAGACAATATTGATGTTTTCAACCTGTACATCAACAGAAAAGATTTCAATTCGTGCATGATGTGATCAATAGTCCTTTCCAGTAAAATATATATTTTTTTCTTTTCTTTCTCTCTCAAGTTTTGGTCGTAAGCGAGCTACACAGATACCTATGGTGCTCATGCTAATATTCACTGGTGACTGGTCTCTCTCCAAACTTTTATGTGTACCTCACATCGCAGTTCATTGTTGGTGTTGCTCTTGGAGGATTTCGTATCAACAGCATAATCCTTGGTATGAGACAATATTGATGTTTTCAACCTTTACATCGTCCTGGCTAGTAGACTGGCTAGTATCAGTAGACTGAATATTCAATGTAAAATATCAGATAGCTCATTAACTTACTAGAAAATACATAGAACCTTTTTAGACTTTCATTTTGTGTCATCAACAAATCAGTTGATAGGTCTTGGGTAAGACTATATGGGCTACATATGTGACTCTAACACACAGAATAGCTGTATTTTCATCATAATTCCATTTATCACAATGTTTTCATCCTGGCTGTAGCCACCGAGTGGATTGGAGTCGCTCAGAGATCCTATGCAGCCTGTCTGAGTCAAGTCCTGGCCGCTTTGGGGCAGGTCATATTTCTTGCCGTTGTTTATTATGTCAGGGACTGGAGACTGGACCAGTTTATAATGGCTGCATCACACTTGCACTTGTGGTTGTCTACATATGGTATGTGTGTTCATGTTTAAAACCCACTTCAAAGAACCATTTCAATGCAGTTCTGTAATTTTGTATTTGGTTTGAAGGATTAATTTGTAAGTGAATGGAATCATTTGATATGCACACCAATATAGGTTTATTCCAGAGTCTGCCAGATGGCTTCTTGTCGGCGGAAGAACTACAGATGCGAAAGAACTCATTCAAGAAGGCAGCGGCGATCAACAAACGTACAGTTCCAGATTCATTAGTGGAGAAGGTGGAGATATATTTCACTAATTAACACCACAAGCCAAATGACAGGTCCATTTGTCTTAAATAACACAATAGGGATAACATCTTTTGTTAGGTCCTAAATGAAAAACCTGTTGAAAGAGGAGGTATAAAAATCTTTTTTGCTTCCCATGTGCTCAGGAAATATTTCTTAACTATTACCTTCGTATGGTGAGTCAATTCTCAGAGAATTTAATTATTTATTTTGCTTGGAATTAGTTTTTTTCTGAACTTTCAAAGGTCATATTTAAACTCGATTGGCCCTCTGTGTTGTTTATACTCAGGTGTGTGTTAAATCTAGCATACTACAGCCTCTCTCTGAATGTGGGGAAGTTCGGCCTTGATATTTTTCTCAATCAACTCATATTCGGCCTCTCTGAGATTCCGGTCCACTTCCTCTGCGTGTGGTCTTTGGAAACGGCTGGAAGGAAAGTGTCTCTGATGGGTGCCCTCATAGTAGGAGGGTCTCTCTGTCTCCTGACTCTTGTAGTTCCACAAAGTAAAACCTTTTCCATATTTAACACTCTATAATGTACAAAGAATCAGCACTTAACCATGTGATGCCCTTCTTAAGGTAATTACATCGCCATCGCTGCTCTTGCCACATGTGGAAGGTTTCTCATGAACGGGGCAGGCAGTGTTTGCAATGTTTATATTCAAGAACTGTTCTACACCTCCATTCGGTAAGCATGAGCCTGTGTCATTTTCTACTGGTATGAATGAGACTGTTGTTTTTAATGCAGTTATGTAATAATCTGCTTGTTGATTTCCAGTCAGACGGCCACGGGTCTGGGCTCCACTGCAGCACGTGCTGCAAGTATGTTGTCTCTTGTGGTGAACCTGTTGGAGATCTATCATTTCACTATTCCCACTCTGGTGTTTGGCTGCCTGGCACTAGCGAGTGGGATAATGGCCTTCCTGCTGCCTGAGACCAGATGCACTGAGCTGCCTGGTTCAACAGAGGAGGCAGAGGGCAAGAGGTACATGTACTTTGCAAAGTTTTTATGCAACTGGTAAAAATAGTCATATTTAGTGAAATTCTGCTGATTAAAGTGATTTTTGCAGTTCTTACATGTCTTAAAATCAGTTCATTTATTTATTCTTTAATTTCTTTAATACCCAAGCTACACATTAAGTCTTGTCTTACATATTGTTTTAAAATGTGTGTAGAAACATTTTGCTATTTTTTTGTCAAGGGAAAATAACACACTATCCCTTTTTCCCAAAAGGCGACCAAAAATGACCAATCCTGCACCTGGTGATTGTGAAGACATCAAAGCAACCAAGTTATAAGTTCTTAAAATCTTGGAAGATGGTGGCTATTGATATGTTATTATTCTGTTTAAGAGTTTACAGTGTAGTGATATGTAGAAATAACAATTAGGTTTTTATTATAATTTCTGCAGTTTATTTGCTATTCAGCATTATGAAAATATTTGTAGATTTAGTATCTTGTAAAATAACAAGCAATAAACCTCATTTGAATTAATGTTTTATTATTTTTATGATTATTTATTTTTTACTTATTATTTATTTTTGATGAACAACATTAACATGAAAGTTATTTACTTTTCATGCATACATTTTTGTGTATTAAATGAAGACTATACGGATGAAGTAAACTAGATAAATCGATTTATTTTCCTGTCACAGAACTATTAGACATATTTTTGATTAATATAGTAAAAGTAAAAAAATAAAAATAATAAAAGGCTGATTTAACTGAACAACATTTCTAGAATCACAATGCAGTATTTGTCAAACTCTTTAACATTTTTTAAATCTAAAAACTTTTGAAGTAACACTACATTAGATATTATGCTAACTTAACATACATTCATTAATTATGAAGATCTAAAGAAGTAACACCACGTATGGATACTTTAACTTGAATATACATTGAATAATTAGTCGATCAAATGTCTGCAATAAAATTTGTGAATTGTCCAGCAAAGGCAAAACAATATAACTGCTTATTTAAATGTAAGTTTTGAATCTTTGAACAATGCAACAACACTACCCCAAAAAGTCAGACATCCAGTCATTTTCAGGCTTTTGGGGCAGCACAGCATTTGTATCAGTGTTTGTTGGATTAAGTAGGGTGGAAGTGTCCTGTGCTGGCTCTGGAGATAAGCCAGGAATGGATGAGAATATGTCATCTGGAAAGAAGTTGCTCGCTTTTGTCTCTGCAGCCTCACCTTGACTCTCTAACCCAGTGAAATCATCAAATGGGTTTGCTGTTCTTTGCGTTGTTTCCACACTGAATGTATTTGTGCTTGTGCTGTCAATAAGACTTGCAAAGATGTCATTTGGGAAAGGATCAGCACTCATGTGACCGAATGCAGCTGTAGATGGAACATTGTCAGAGCTGAAGAAATCTAAAGCTTCCATTTGAGATGACTCAATTAGCTCTTGGCCAGAAAGGTTTTGATCAGGCACATTAGAGGTTGATTGATTGCCTTTACTATCGAAAACATTATTAACCTCACTTTGAATTAGATTTGCCTGTTCAAGGTCAGGACTTTTCTGTTCAAACACATATGAAGTACCTGTTAGTGTTGATGGGTCACCTTCAGAACTTATCAAGTCAAAAACTTCATTTGGTGTCAGTTGACCATCTGTGATTCCCTCAAAAGGGTTTTGACTTTGACTCTCGCAGTTTGTCATAATATCAAATAAATTATTATTTGAAGTTAGAGCAGAGACAGTGAGCATTTTGTCTCCTCCAAAGATATCCATTGTTTGGACTTGTATATTGTTCATACCAAAGGGATCGTCAGTCATTTCTGAGGAAACACCGGCTTCATTTTTATTGACTTCAGTCAGGGTGTTTCCAAAACCATCTGAGTTTACCTCAATATTTGACTCTGACGAACCAAGAATATCGAGAGTGGTTTGACTGAGATTTGTAGAAGGGCTTAATGTTGTATCTTCACTTTCTTCCTGAGCTCCAAATGGGTCTTCTTGAATAAAGGAGCTCGCTATATCTACTGATGGAGTTTCCACTGATGGTGTTTCCAAATCCATAATGTCTGTCAATTTGCCACTGTGTGTATAATCAAGTATATTTGAACCTGAAAAAGCCACAACATCTGTGTTAGAGTTTGTAACTTGAGATGTAAATGCATCAGATGAATCAAGAAAACCAGTTGTATCTTCATTCTGAGGCAAAGAGGAGTTGAGGCTCTCTTCAAGACCTGATGGTTTTGAAGAGTCTGGAGAGGTGAGATCTACATGAATGTGTTCTTGTGAAGGAATAAGAGCCTCATTTCTATCAATCTCCCAAAGACCACCAGAAGCAGGCTTGTGTTGTTCAATTGACTCAAGGTCTATTGATGGCATCGTGTCATCAGCAGAGTTTCCATTAAGCAATAAAATGGGATTTTCAAGGCCCTCTGTTGGATTAAGTTCTTCTGCAGCATCACTTAGTTGGTTTTCTGTTGGTTTTATGGGTTCATGAGGTGTATTTTGAAAGGTGGGCTCAGTCAGAGGAAGAGATACTGAAACATTTTCTTGAATCAATGCAGTGTCATATTCTGTCCCTCCAGTTGTCTCTGGCTCCTTCTCACATGTAGTTTCTATTTTGATATCTGGTGTTTTCTTTATTTCTGACTCTGTTTCAGAGGATGAAAAGAGTCTGCCCAGTAAATTTCTAGGTTTTATATCGGATCTTTTGCTTTCCGTTTTTGTCTCACTTTTGTTCTCTTTCCTACTTGGACCAGATGTGAAGAGTTTGGAAAGAGGGCTTTTACCTTTAGACCAAGACCCTTTATTCCCTTTATCCATGGCCTTTTTGTCAGCAACCTTTGTGTTGCTTTTATTATCAGATTTTGGAGGCATATCCAACATGTTAGGGTCTTTAGATTCAACCTTAATAATATCTTGATTTTTGGCGGTTACAACCTTGGCATTACTCTCAATAACCACCTCTTTCTTCATCTCTGCAACCTGCTCCAAATCACATGATTCACTTCCTGGTTTGAATGTTTCTTTACCACATGCTGTGATTTCATTTACCTGCAGTTCATGAAGATTCAGGAGTGTTTCCATCTCACTCGTATTTGCCTCATCTGCCTTTGTTTTTTCATCCAAATTGCTTTGCAAAGACAAGACATTTTCCTTTTCATCCAAATTACTTTGCAAAGACAAGACATTTTCCTGTATTCCTATATTTGGAAGAAAAGTATCCTGCATTTGTCCGTCTAAAGCTTTGGGATGTTCAACAGAATCATGGCCATATGAATTGTGCATTGTGTCAATTAAACATTCCACAGGTGATTCCTCTATTTCTATTCCTGATTCAAAAGTTGTAATTTCTCTCTTTGCTGTCTTTACATTACCATTGACAACTGCATGTTCAACAAAAGCCTCAGTAGAGCTTTCAGCTCCTTCACTGGTGATCTCTGTGTTATCTTCCTTGTCTATATTTAAATCTGAATTAAACTGGACAGACTTTTTTATTTTCGTTGGGCTATCAACTTTCCCATCTTCAGCCAAACTGTGTTCTCTCACAGAATCTGGTCTCGAGGTCACAGAATTGAAGTCTTTGCTTGTCACTTCCCCATCTTTTGAAACTTTGCTTTGTGTTCCAGATCTATCTGCAGTCTTCTGTAATGTTTTTGAACCTCTTGAATGAGGTGTATAAACATCCCCTGAATGTAGTGTTTTAAACCCACCTTTTATTGTTAAGGGAGAGGCGTATGTGTTTGTCTTCTCATAAATCCGAGCTGACAGCTCAACTGATTTGTCCATTTCATCCAGCCCAGAATTAAACCTTTTCTGTTCAAGAGCATTTCTGGAGCTTCTCGCAGAAGAGTGGTTGTGATTTGACCAGTCTGTTGTACTTCTTGAGGCTGAGGAAGTATTTTGTGATACAGGGCTATGTCTGGTCCTCTTGTTTTCCGGTGGCCAGCTAATTCTAAGTTTGTTCCTGGTGTCAGGACTTTTGAATTGATCATCACTGTGTCTTTGCCGTCGAGATGATGGTCCTCCGGGGTCATCTACAATTGCATCAACACATATAGGCTCTGTTTTATGCGCTGAGCTTAGCTTGTTAGTAGGTTCAGGTTCCTCTGTTTTAGCAAGCCAGCGGTCTTTGTGTTGTCTGTGGCCAAAACCCTCATCATAGTTGCCCTTTTTCTTAAATAACTGATGGTAATGTGATGGGCAATAGAACTCTCCATAAAGAGCAGAGTAATTGTGAATGCTGTAATGAATAATAGTACACCAGTGAAGATTCAAAGTTAAAGTATATACTGTGAAATAAAATTCCCAGGGAATCAAGTGTTATCATATTTGATTTGTGATTGGATGAACTCAATTAAAAATGCAATGTGAATTTGATTATATAGATTGTATTTGATCAGATATATTATGAATCACAGGTTTGCACCAGGATTACACTAAAAACTTTTAACTGATTTGCCTTCTAATGTCTAGGAAATTGATTTCAGAATTTCACAATGGACGATTGGGATCTCTCTCTCACCTCAGCTTTTTATTACAGTGTTTGCAGCAGAAACAGTTACTATGTAGGATTAGTTTGTCTGCCACCATTTTCTCCATTGGGTAAACAGGCATCAGGCACGCAGAGCACATCTCTTTAGCAGGTGACAGGAACTATGACAACAATATAGACATACATGGAATATGAGTTTATGTATGATATACAGAGCATGAAGATCCTCCTATGGAAAAAAATTCAAAATTGTTATAGCATGCTGTTTTAGAGAAACAATATAATAATAATTTAAAGTTTTGTCTTCCTGGTAATAAAATAATTATAACAAATACTGCTTTGTAAGTATAGATAATTTTAATATACAGCATTTGAAACAAATATTTAAGATGAACACTTTTAGTAACACTTAATTGCAACAGTACAAAAACCCTTGCTCTTAAAGCATCACAATAAAACTGTTTATTGTACACACATATAAAATGAGGACCAATACAACTAACATACATGTATTTTAAATAGAAATATGGAACTAAAAATCTACCAAAAATGCTACAAAACGAAATGGGGAGCCAGGTTAATGTTATTCTGTGTTGGGATGACCGAAAGTAACAAACACTTTTCTGTCTTTGTTTTTAGACAGAGAATTTGAGGAGAAGGTCTGGCTGTCTGGACCTTTGCAAAACAGGTGAAGCCATTTCTTTATATCTCCCTGGATTTGTAATTACATCATATGAGGCAGATAATCCACTCTCGGACTGCCTGGTAACAAATGTAGATCTTTTGGAAGAGAGGTAAGTATTCCCAAAGCAGTCTATCTCTTCATATTTCTCACTGACAGTTTTAGTGCCAATGATTCCACTTGCAACCTCAGGAACTCGCTGTACTTCAAGAACGCTGACTTTCCTTCTAGCACTTGGAGGACTACAAACATGGCTGGCTGAGCTTTTCTCAGGGGAGGATGGTTTGAAGGTG